TTGGGGTATAATTTCTTTCTTTCTTTTTTTTTTTTGAGACTGAGTCTCACTCTTTTGCCTAGGCTGGAGTGCAGTGATACCATCTTGGCTCACTGCAAACTCTGCCTCGGTGGCTCAAGCAATTCTAATGTCTCAGCCTCCCAAGTAGCTGGGATGACAGGCTCATGCCACCATGCCCAGCTAATTTTTGTATTTTTAGTAGAGATGCGGGGAGGTTTACCGTGTTGGTCAGGCTGGTCTTGAACTCTTGACCTCAGGTGAGCCACCTGCCTTGCCCTCCCAAAATGCTGGGATTACAGGTGTGAGCCACCGTGCCCAGCTGAGATATAATTTCTACACCATAAAATGTCACTATTTTAAGTGTACTATTCAATAACTTTTAGTCCATCTACGGTTGTGCACCCCTCACCACAATCCAATTTTAGAATATTTTCATCACCCCAAAAAGATCTCTCATGCCCATTTGCTGTTCCTTTCCTATTCCCCAGCTCCAGACAAACCTAAGCTACTTTGAGTCTCTGTAGCTTTGCCTTTCCTCATGTAAATGGACTCATTCAATATGACATCTTTTTTATCTGGCTTCTTTCACTTAGCATAATGTTTTTGCAGTTCAGTTATGAATAATGCTGCTATGAACATTCACACACAAGTCTTTGTGTGGACATATGTTTTCATTCCTCTTGGGTAGATGCCCAGGCATAGAATTGCTGGGTTGTATGGTAAATTTATGTTTAACTTTTTAAGAAACTGCCAAACTGTTTTCGAAAGTGGCTGCACCATTTTACATTTCTACCAGCAAAGCATGAGAGTGCCAGGTGCTGTACATCTATTATTTTGAATACATGCGTGTAGGCATTTCATAACCACTGTTTTAGAGGTGAGAAACCTGTGGTTGCAAGAGGTTAACTAACTTGCAGAAGGCCATTCAGCCTGACAAAGCCCGTATTCAACCCTATCTAGTTCCAAATCCCATCCTTTTCTCCTGGGGACTAGCTCTGTGCTGGGTGTTTGTGCTTGTTGACAGGGTTGGGGGAGGGCACTGCGGTAACTTCCAGCTCACTCTGTGGAGCCATCCAACCAATCAGGTGAACCATGGCGACCGTGGCCATGGAAAAAGGAAGGAGGGCTAGTCTTCTTGGACCAGATACAAAGCCCCAACAACGATTTACATGACTCATTTATCTCTTTATGTATAGAATGAAACTTCAGTTCAGATTAACCAGTGACACAACAAAGAAACAAGCTGAGCACTATAAAGGGTCCCCATCACTGTGGACTTTGACAGCCTCGTAATCACTTGGCTGGCCACAGAACAGGGAGAAAAGATTTTTGCTTTCCTCTGTCTCTGAGTCAGCAAGTAGTTAGTTACTGAAATCACATCTGCTAACAAGTCCAGGCAACTGCTGACTGCATTGTTCCCGTTGCCTTGTTTTGTACGGTTAGCCACAACACAAACAGGAGGGTGCATAAATTGATTATATAAAGACATGGGAAATGGCATAGTCAAATTGAAAACATAAAGCAAAAATTATTGCTTTCTATAATCTTTATCTTCAGCAGGATTTTAATGTAAGCCTATCTTCTCCTATCCATATCTTTCTATATCACTGGCTCCAGAGGGACGATGTTAGGGTAAACAAGCATGGAGCTGGCATTTTCATTCATCCATCCTTGACAGCAGGGGTGTGTCTTGTTCAGCTTCCTATTCCCCACAGTGCACGACGTCATTTAACACCGACCTTCCTATCTTGCCTGGACTAGTGTCGTCTGTCTCCCACTAGCCATCCTTCATCCATAGCTCCTCTATCCAGGCCATTTTCTACACTTCTTTTTGAATCATCTTTCTAATATGCATTTTTTTTTTAAATTTTATTAGTCAATTGGTTGTTTAGGAGTATGTTTAATTTCCATCTCTAATATGCATTTTTTATTCAAGAAGAAATGACAACATTGCATTATTTTTATTTTTAGAGACAATCTTGCTGTGTTGCCCAGGATGGAGAGCAGTGGCGGGATCACAGTGCACTGCAGCCTAGACCTCTGTCGCAAGAGCCATCTCCCACTATCCCCCACTCCCACCTCCTAATAGCTGGAACTATAGGTGTGCACTACCACACCCAGCTAATTTAAAATTTAAAATTTAAATTTTTTTTTTTTTTTGCAGAGACAGGGTCTCACTATGTTGCCCAGGCTGGTCTTAAAGTCCTGGCTCAAGTGATCCTCCTGCCTCAGCCACCTAAAACCCTGGGATTACAGGCATGAGCCACTGCACCTGGCTAATGACATTTTATTATTTGATTAGATTCATGGTGCTGCCAATATAACAAAAGTGATATCAAACATGTCCATGTATTTTAAAGAGGCCTATTGATCTATGGGATGGCCAAAATAAAAGAAAAAACAGTTTAAGTCTGTCAATTGCTATGAAACAAAGTCCATATTCTTTAGCAGATCATGAAAGATCATTATATAACCTGGCTTACCGACCTACAGCTCTGTTTCTCACCATACAATTCCCCCTTCTGCTCTTTCTAGAAGGATCACTATTCATTCTTCCTGTATTTTTCAGCAACTGCCTCAGGCTTTAACATAGAACAAGTGTTCAATAAACATTTCTTGTTAGACTGAGAGGTGCTTTGACCCACTAAGAGCTATATTAATTCCATAAGTCTTCAAAGGAGACTTCTAATTCCTAGGACATTCTTCATAGCAGAGGAGGTGTGAGAATGGTGAATAAATGACTACCTATTTTTACTCTTCTTCTCAGAGTACAATCACTGATTCATTCAACCTAAGTCTTGAATGCTTTCAAAGGTCAAATCTTTATTTTGAAATTGTACAAATGGGCCAGGTTCAGTGGCTAATTCCTGTAATCTTAGCACTTTGAGAGGCCAAGGTGGGTGGATCACCTGAGGTCAGAAGTTTGAGACCAGCCTGACCAACATGGAGAAACCCTGTCTCTATTAAAAATACAAAATTAGCTGGGTCTGGTGGCATGCCAGTATTCCCAGCTACTTGAGAGGGTGAGGCAGGAGAATTGCTTGAACCTGGGAGGCAGAGGTTGCAGTGAGCCGAGATTGCACCATTGCACTCCAGCCTGGGCAATAAGAGTGAAAGAATAAACAAAAATAGTACAAATGGCTGTTCCTCAAATTAGAAGAAATTCATAAAGAAATAGCAACTGAGTGTTAATTTTCCTAACATTAGACAATTTAGTGAAATGTAATTTGAAAGGTTTTAATGGTCGTTTAAACTCAAACTGCTAATTATTTCCTTAAGAGAACATAATAATAAATGAAGGAAAGAAAACATAAATGAAAGATCTCCACAGGCTATTAAAGGCTGTCTATTCTTTACAAATATCATGGAGGTTAACATTTAGCAGTTCTGTCAATGCTATTCTGGGAATTGGATGAGTCAAAACTATCTAGAGAATCAAAAAATGTAGCCAATTTCAAATTAACATATCCATTTGTAAATTTAATGATATATTAATGATTTTACAATCATACTGTTCTATGCTATTATATGTATCCCAGCCATATAAGGAAGTTGACATAACAGAATTACTTATCAGACCCTTTAATTATATACATATAGACATTATTTTAAAACTAAACCAGGTACCAAAAAAAAAAAAAAAGCTAGGAAAAGTATCTGTAGCTACTTTAACAAGAGTTAGTATAGTGTTACATATAAAAGCTATTAAGATAAAACACTGTCTCCAACAGTACTGATGGGCAAAAGGTATGAAACAACAAAGGAGTTAATATGATTAACAGATAACATGGAAAAATTTTTCAATTTCAACTTCACCAGAAATCAGTAGACCAGTTTTCGCTAAGCAAATTAGCCAAAGTTGAAGAAAGAACTAGTGATATCTAGCTGCTAAGTATGTGATAAAACAAGGAACTGATATATGATTGGTGGCAATATAAAATTTGTACAATCCTCCAGTGTGGCAATAAGTATGTGCAAGGGCCTTAAAAATGTTCATGCTTTTTGGTAATTTAATACCAGGGAATTATCCTGTGAGAAAAATGTATGTATTATGCAGAAAGACATTTGTTAAAACATTATTTATGGCTGCAAACCACCTGAATATTGAACAGTAGGAGAACACAAGAGAAATTATTATATATTTATTTGAGGATATATTTATATAAATATATACATGTTTATTAAATATTAGAGCAAATATGAATCAACACGGGCAACTTCCATAATCATAATGTTGAGCAGGAAATAAAAGCGAGTTGTAGAATACTTTATACATTTCATGATACTAATTATATAAAGTTCAAAACATGCAAATATTGTATATTACTTAGCAAGACATATATATGTGGTAAAAGCATAAAGAAATGTATGAGCTGAATAATCACTAAATTTCAGAAAGTGGTTACATATGTTACACTGGAGGGAGCTGCAAATGAGGATGATTACACAGAGGGTATCAATTGCATTGATAATGTTTGTTTGTTTTTGAGAAGTTGCTTCTCTCGTTGCCCAGGTTGGAATGCACTGGAGCTATCTTGGGTCACTGCAACTTCCGCTTCCCGGGTTGAAGCAATTATCCTGTCCCAGCCTCCGAGTGGCTGGGATTATAGCCCTGCACCACCACGCCTGGCTAATTTTTTTTGTATTTTAGTAAAGATGGGGTTTCTTCATGTTGATCAGGCATGTCTCGAACTCCTGACCTCAGGTGACACGCCCACCTCGGCCTCTCAAAGTGCTAGGATTACAGGTGAGTGAGCCACAGCGCCTGGCCTGATAATGTTTTATTTCTTAAGCTCTGTGAGATACATCGATGTTCATTCCATTATTCTTTTTATCTTCTTGTATGTCTTAAATCTTTCATGGTAAATTTACAATATTATGCAGCTATAAAATAGTTTCATAGAAAGCCAATATGATAACATGGAAAAAAGGGCCTTCGCTAGAGGAGGCGGGCAGCGCGGGGTCCGCCAGGCCGCGCGCGGGCTGCCGGGAAAGGGGCGGAGCGCGACTGCGCCGGCGCATTGACGGGAGAGTCTGCCGCGGCGATGGACGTGTTTCTCATGATCCGGCGCCACAAGACCACCATCTTCACTAACGCCAAGGAGTCCAGCACGGTGTTCGAGCTGAAGCGCTTCGTAGAGAGAATCCTCAAGCGGCCACCCGACGAGCAGCGGCTGTACAAGGACGACCAACTCTTGGATGATGGCAAGACACTGGGCGAGTGCGGCTTCACCAGCCAAACAGCACGACCACAGGCCCCAGCCACGGTGGGACTGACCTTCCGGGTAGATGATACCTTTGAAGCCCTGTGCATCGAGCCGTTCTCTAGTCCGCCCGATCTCCTCGACATGATGAAGCCCCAGGACTCGGGAAGCGGTGCTAATGACAAGCTGTGCAGTGAGGGCCCCCCAGAGGCCCATGCCCCCCAATAAAAGAGTTTTGGGAGTCTGAAAAAAAATAACCTGGGAAAGGTTTGTACTATGACATTAAGTTAAACAAATTACATATTCAAAATGATTACAACGACTTGAAAGCCATAAAAAAATCTTACAAAGAACCCCCAAAGTTAACTATTTTTCACATTGGAAGATGATGTTATTACCTCCTTATTCCTTTAAAACTTTTCCTCTTTGTTCTCTTACGATTGACGTTACAAACATAATTGAAAACCAATAAACCTACTTTAAAAAAAGCATGGCGTATTTATTAGTTATTAAGCCATTTGTACTGTTATGTCACATTTGATTTGTAAATTACTGTTCCGCTTAGCTTTGAGTCTAGCATTATGTGTAAGATGTGGAAGGATGGAAAAGACCGGAAAGAGTGGAGATTGGCCGGGACCTGAGTTAGTTGATGAAGGGGTATGAAGGCAGGATGGGGCCGGGCGCAGTGGCTCATCCCTGTTTTCTTAGCACTTTGGGAAGCTGAGTAGGGAGGATCACTTGAGCCAACATTTGAGACCAGCTTGGGCAGGGTAATGGGAGCCTGTCTCTACAAAAAAAAAAAAAAAAAAAAAAAAAAATTAGTTGGGCATGGTATGGTGTGCCTATAGGCCTAGCTACTCAGGAGGCTGAGGCGAGACAATTGCTTGGGTACAGGAGTTTGAGGCGGTGGTGAGCTATGATTGCACCATTGCACTCAAGCCTGGGTGACACAGTGAGACCCTGTCTTAAAAAAAAAAAAAAGAAAAAGAAAGCAGGGTGGGTCAAGGCTTGCTGTTCCAAATTCCTGAAGTGTTTGAGGAAGATTATTCTGATTGTTATGGTAAGGTTGGCTTCCAAAATGAGACTTGAAGTGGCAGCAAGGTTCTTTATATGAAAGTAAGCAACGTAAAATGAATTCACTCTGTTGAGAGAAAGAATAAATGAATGGAAGAATAAGTCAGAGCTAATATTAATTGAGGCTCTTAATTCTTAGATACTGTTCATTAGATACTGTTATTTCAATGATTTCCCATGGATCTTAGAATTTTAGAACTGGCATGGGTCTTTGAGAGCATTTAACTTCTTTATGTTGTAGTCAAACAAACTAATTTCCAGAGAAGCTGAATAACACTACCAAGTAAGTAAAAGAGAGTATTTGGACTTTTCTTTCATCCTACTATTTCCTTTTTTAAAAGAAAGGTGGGCCGGGCACAGTGGCTCATGCCTGTAATCTCAGCACATTGGGAGGCCTAGGTGGGTGGAGTTCGTGGCCAGCCTGGCCAACATGAAACCTGGTCTCTACTAAAAATACAAAAATCAGCCAGGCGTGGTGGCAGGCGCCTTTAGTCCCATCTACTCAGGAGGCTGGCCTGAGTCCCAGGTACTTGGGAGGCTGAGGCAGGAGAATCACTTGAGCCTGGGAGGCAGAGGTTGCAATGAGCTGAGATTGCACCACTGCACTCCAGCCTGGGAGACAGCACGAGACTCCACCTCAAAAATAAAAATAAAACTAAGCAAGTGGGGGCCTAATCTTTTAACAAGAAAATGTACTACAAATTCCTTGGCCTGCTCTTTGCCACTTACAGAAAACCCCTGACAATCTAGCTCCAACCTATCTCCCACTAATCCTCCAGAACAAGCATGGGATTTTTGGCATACTCACCAGTAAGACCCTCCACCCTTCTCTCTGCCTATGTAAAACAATTCATCTTTCAAGGCACAACTAGAATACTTTGTGGGTTGATTATAACCAAGAGTGTAATCCAGAGGTAATATCATGAGAGCCCGAATTGGAAGTGTGTGGAAATGAAGTAGAATAGAAAAAACTTGCACGTAAGAAAGAGGAGAACAAAGAAGGCAGGGAGAATAATAATAATAACAGTACTATTAATAATGGCAGTGATAACTACTAACATTAATGCATGTTTATGATATGCTAAACCCTGCGTTAACCATTTTTATGTTCATTATCACACTTAATAATGTTCTCAGTAACTCTGAAATGGTAATCAGGATTGTGTTACGTGTAACAGAAAATCCTATTGGCCCAGGCGCGGTGGCTCACGCCTGTAATCTCAGCACTTTGGGAGGCCGAGGCGGGCGAATCACCTGAGGTCAGGAGTTCAAGACCAGCCTGGCCAACATGGTGAAACCCTGTCTATAAAAAAAAAAAAAAAGAAAAAAGAAAATCCTATTATAAGAAGTGAGGTTTTTATTTCCCTTCCATTCAATAAGGAGGCCAGTCCAGTTTTGTGTGACTTCATGAGGAGTCACCAAGAACCCAGAGTCATTCTATCTTCTTTCTCCACTATTCTTAGCATATGTCTTTAATTTTCAAGATCATAATATAACTTTTCAAGACATTACAACTGCCTTCCAGAGAGAAATGCAGTGGGTATTTCTTTTTTTTTTTACGATATTTTGGATATGTTGAGTTAATTAAATTGTTATAATCCATTTTACCTGTTCTTTGTTGTTTTTTTTTTAATGAAAGAAAGAAAGAGAGAAAGGGGGAGAGAGAACAGGAGTCTTGCTCTATTGCCCAGGCTGGAATGCAATCTAAAAATAGGTATTAAAAACCTCTTTTGGGCCGGGCGCGGTGGCTCAAGCCTGTAATCCCAGCACTTTGGGAGGCCAAGGTGGGTGTGGATCACGAGGTCAAGAGATCGAGACCATCCTGGTCAACATGGTGAAACCCCGTCTCTACTAAAAATACAAAAAATTAGCTGGGCACAGTGGCGCGTGCCTGTAATCCCAGCTACTCAGGAGGCTGAGGCAGGAGAATTGCCTGAACCCAGGAGGCGGAGGTTGCGGTGAGCCGAGATCATGCCATTGCACTCCAGCCTGGGTAACAAGTGAAACTCCATCTCAAAAAATAAATAAATAAATAAATAAATAAATAAAACCTCTTTTATGCCAATAATTGTGCTTAACAGCAGAGCAGGAAGGAATAAGGAAAGAAAATAACAAACAGCCAACCAATATTTCATTTAAATCTGTGAAATGCTATGCAAATGCTGAAGAGTGATTTGCTTCCATTTATGGGGTCACTTTCAAAATAGGTGTAATGTGATACTGAAAAAAATGTATGTTCTGTGGACCTGGGGTGAAGAATTCTATAAATATTCACTGAGTTTACTTGTTCCAGGTCTGAGTTCAAATCATAAATGTCCCTGTTAATTTTCTATCTCATTGATCCGTCGAATATTAACAATGTGGTGTCAAACTATCCCTGTATTATTGTGCGGGAGTCCAAGTCTCTTTATAAGTCATTGAGAACTTGTCTTATGTATCTGGGTGTTCCTATACTGGGTGTATGTATATTTATGATCATTGACTCCTGTTGTTGCATTGATCCTTTTACCATTATGTAATGTCCTTTATTTCTTTTAGTCTTTGTTACTATTAAAGTCTATTTTGTCAGAGACGAAAGTTATAACTCCTGTTTTTTTTTTTCTCTCTCCATTTGATTGGTCTATCCTTTTGAGTCTTTGTGTGTCCTTGCTTATGAGATGGATCTGGATACAGCGAACCGATGGGTGTTGACTTTTTATTCAGTTGCGTGTCTGTGTCTTTGATTGGGGTGTTTAATCCATTTAAATTTAGGATTAATATTGATATTTGTGAGTTTAATGTTGTCATTTAATGCTAGCTGGCTATTTTGCCCATTAGTTGATATAGATTCTTCATTATGAAGATACTCTTTGGTAAGTTTTTGGGATGACTGATACTGGTTGTTCCTTTCTGTGTGTAGTGCTTCTTTCAGAAGCTCTTGTAAAGCAGGCCTGGTGGTGGTGAAATCTCTGAGTGCTTGCTTGTTCATGAAAAATTTTATTTTTCATTCATTTATGAATCTTAATTTGGCTGGATATGAGATTCTGGGTTGAAAATTCTTTTCTTTGAGGATATTGAATATTGACTCCCACTCTCTTCTAGTTTGTAGGGTTTCTGCTGAGAGATCTGCTGTACGTCTAATAGGCTTCCTTTTATGGGTAACCTGACCTTTCTCTCTAGCTGCCCCTAGAATTTTCTCCTTTATTTCAACCCTGGTGAATCTAACGATTATGTGTCTTGGGGTTGCTCTGCTTGAGGAATATCTTTGTGGTGTTCTCTGTATTATCTGGAGCTGAGTATTGTCTTGCCTTACTAGGTTAGGAAAGTTTTCCTGAATAATATACTGAAGAATATTTTCCAGCTTGGATTCATTCTCTTCATGACATTCAGGTACACCTATCAAATGTAAATTAGGTCTTTTCACATTGTCCCATATTTCTTGGAGGCTTTGCTCATTCCTTTTTACTTTTTCTTCTCTAATCTTGTCTTCTCATTTCATTTCATTAAGTTGGTCTTCGACCTCTGATTTCCTTTCTTCTGCTTGATCAATTCAAGTGTTAAAACCTGTGCATACTTCGCAGAGTTCTCCTATTGTATTCTTCAGTTCCATTAATTCACTTATATTCCTCTCTTAAATTGTCTATGCTTGTTAGGATTTCGTCAAACCTTTTTTCAAGGTTCTTAGTTTCTTTACATTGGGCTAGAACATGTTCTTTTAACTCACAGAAGTTTCTTATTATCCATCTTCTGAAGCCTAATTCTGTTATTGGAACACACTTGTTCTCCATCAGCCTTGTTCCGTTGTTGATGAGGAATTGTGATCCTCTGTAGAGGGAGAGGCATTCTGATTTTGAGTATTCTCAGCCTTTTTGTGCTGGTTTCTTCCCATCATTGTAAATTTATCCACCTGTCGTCTTTATGATTACCGACTTTCAAATTAGGTCTCTGAGTGGACGTCCAACTTGTTGATTCCCAGCACCAAAATCTGAGCAACCCACTGTGCCAGCTAAAACAGCGGAGTCAAAATTCTTGGTGCTTTTCTGCCCGGGAATCTCCCATCTGGCTTCCCTCCTGAATCCCTTCTTCAGTCAGCTGAATGGGCAACTCTGCTTTTCTGGACCTCCAAACGTCGACCAAAAGGGGACCCAGTCCCATTTACTCTGCACTGAGAACCGCTGCGCTGGCCACAAGAGTTGCGCTGGTGTCCCGTGGGGCTCCTCTGCTGGGAATCTCCTGGTCCCTGAGCAACAAAAATTTGTCTGAAAGTGATTGGCCATCTTGGATCTCTCCAGTGGGTATTTCTTTTGAAGGACTTCTGTCAACATCTCTTTGGTCAGAGCTATGTTACCAGGCCACTGCTGGTAAGGAGTTGCGAGGGAGGCTGGGAGACCACCAAATGAAATTCTGTTAATAAAGAGGAAGGAGAGAGGGATATTTAGGTAGGCAGCCTGCAGTGTTATGATTGTTTTATAGATGAGGAAAAATGGGGCATAAGAAGGCTAAGAGCTGGGCGTGTGGTTCAAGCCTATAATCCCAGCACACTGGGTGGCTGAGGCGGGTGGACCACCTGAGGTCAGGAGTTTCAGACCATCCTAAACAATATGGTGAAAAGCTGTCTCTACTAAAAATACAAAAATAGCCAGGCGTGGTAGTGTGTGACTGTAGTCCCAGCTACTAAGGAGGCTGAAACAGGAGAGTTGCTTGAACCCAGGAGGCAGAGGTTGCAGTGAGCCATGTTCGCAC